AATATTAGCAATGCAGATAATTCATTGAATATAATACTAAATAAGTTACAAAAATAGTTTAAATTAATTTCATAATTATATCTAAGTAAGTGGTGTAATTTTGCAATAGTGTTTAAGGAGTTAAAATGATTTTTGTCAATCTTATTTTCTTGGATCTAAGTTATCTTCTTTTCACAACTTAATTTTTACAAACAAAATTATATCGATAATATATTTATCTATTATATTAAAAATTATTTCGATCTATTTACCAGTTTGAATAGAACTTCCTTCAGGAAATATCAAATGCCTCTTCCTTCGGGACAATATCCTCTCAGTAGTAATTTCGCTGGTGTCATTAAAATCATCACCTTCACAGTATGCACTTGTAATTAGATTAATTAACGTCACTATTAAAACTATTCTGCAATAATTCATTTTCAATTTTTCGCATCAAAATTATAACTGTACTGTAATTCATTAAAATAGCACAAGAAATTCAATACATATTTCACTACTTGGTTTTGAGATAGATCTGTCAGAAGAGGAGATGTTTCAATTTAATTTATGTTGTGGCAGGGGTTAGCAACGTTGAAAAAAATGGTAGAGATGATACTTGAAGTCAAAACATATGTTATACATCATCATATTAGTATATGGAGTACGGCGGGGCACAAAGATCCAATTTGAATTTGAGCAATTGTATTGTGAAAACAAAACCAATTATATCACAAGTAACACAAATCAAATCAATAACTATCTGACTATTTTTGGCAAAACTCTCAGATAATTCATCATTGAATAATTGTGCTTTTTGCGGTTTTTTTTTAAATTTGTCACTTGGTCCTTTTTGCTCCATAGACGGGATAAAATTGGACGATCAATTCATTTAAATTATTTTTTGTAAAATATCTCATTAACTTAATTTACTTTTTTATTTACTATTGTTCATTGTTAAATTCTTTGTCAGAGTGAAGGTTTAGTTGAGCTTTTCTTTTCAAGATGGAATTTTTACGTACTTTTAATTGACATGTGATATTATAATAGGATATTTTTTTGACTCAAGTTTTTTGAAAAATAAAAGGTTTTCCATCGACACGGTTCACAACCGTAATACAGTTGCATCAAAGTTGCTAATTGTCTCACCGTTATTAAACAAATTCTTGAACTGTTCGCTTTTCGTTTATGTAAGGCAATGTGACAGTCACGAATGACTATATCGGATAATAAACCAATTTTTAAATTCTCTAAATTCACTTGAATTCAAAATTATGAATTATTAAAAAATATGCCACAAAAATTTCATTGGACTGGGTCGTAAAACCAATGATTAATTAAATTTTATCTTACTAGATACTTGTATTAGATTAAAATATTTTTGTTCATTTCTTTATTTTTTAAATTGTCCAACTAGCAATAAGTCATCACTTAAATAATAACCTAATTATATAATTATTATAACATATATTTTTAATAAAAAATCATCCTTCATGAATTATATACAGAAAATTTGAAGAAATTGTTAAGTGTTGAAATACAAAATGATCACGATTTAATATGACTATTTTTCCAAAAATAAAATATAGCAAATAACAAGTTGAATTATTTTTAGTTGCATGATTTTTTTTAATTCCATATAATCATAACAATCAGAGTTAACTCTATGAGTTACAGTGCTAATATAAATCAAACAAACAATAATTGAAATTATATAGAAATAATATAAAAATAATTATTATTATAAATCAAATTATATTAATAATAAAATAAGTGTGAGATATGAATTTTACTTCATTTTTGTGTTTTGTTACATGTTATTTAAAAATTATGAAAAAAAATGAATAAAATAAATCTATTAATTTTTGAAATGTAAAGAAATAACATTTTTGAATTTAGAATATTTTTTTAAATAATTTATGAATTTTTTTTAAATTATAAGATTTTAATAAAATTTACAATGCCTTTAAGTACGTACAACATTTTTTATAACTGACAACATTTTACATGAGTTATCGCATTTTTATATATACCGACAACAATTTATACAATTTACAGCGCTTTTAGAGAATTTATAACATTTTTAGAGAATTTACAACATTTTTGGACTATTTACAATATTTTCAAACTACTTATGAAATTTTTAGACATTTTTTGACATGTTTGTTCAAAGAAAAAAAGAAAACTCAACAAAAAGCTGTCCATAAGTTTAATATAAAGAGTTGTAATCCATAGTCAATGGAAACAATTTCTTCCCTTTTTTCCTTTGTTATATTTTTTTTAATGTTTAATTTAGCATTACAATTTACAGAGTTCTGTCAATTAATTCAATTTTTGTATATTGATTAAAATATATGCAAAGTTGAATCCGTTACATTTAGAATAGAAAAGGTTTCTATGATGATTACAAATCATTATTTATGTCAATAAGTCGTGACATAGGTAATAGGTTTGAAAATCAACATAAATTAAACACTCATATTTTTGAATATTTTAGTTTACAGTTATTGATTTATGATAGACAAATCAAGCTAGTAAGAAAATCAGTACCATTTTTGATGTTTTGAAGTAAATAGTAACAATCGTCGTTTCGTAAAAAAATATAATATAGTTAAAAAAATACTGTTATAAATGTATTCAAATGTTATGAGTACTGCAGTAATTTTTTTGTTTATTTTTAATAATGTGATATGTTTCAATGATTCTTGTAATCATGTAACTACGACCACAATAACTAATAAACGCTACCGTCGTCATTTAACTTTTCGAAAATCTTCCAAATTTTTTGTGAGTATTTATAAAAATCTTACCATATTATTCAATAGTATTGTAAGTTATAATTTTTTTTTTTATTTTTCTGTTAGTTTAGATTCAATTTGAAGGACGCCGTACTTCCCGAAACAGGAATATTCTCATATGGATATGGGTTCCGGATAAACTTCGATATGCCCGAGGAAGGAAAATTGCATAAAATATCAAGAAGAAATATTCACGATACTCTACGGGAAGCTATAGAACAGTATGATATATTTAAATTATATAAAACTGTACCATGCGAATAAGAACTTGGCTTTGTGCCTAAATGTAGGGCACTCTAAGCTTACCCAAAGAAAATACATTTACGAAAAGGTTCCGGAAGAAAATATTTAAATACCATATGCAAAGGGAAATATTTATTTATGCCTGCGATATATCTTATTAGAAGACACTTAATTATGAAATAGGGTATTCTAAATAATTGATGGGTTTGAATTTTAAAACTTTAATTTAAGATTAAAACAGGGTTTCTAAATCCCGTTAGTAAATCCAACCTAGAACCCTCAAAATCCATGAAATCCTTAATAAGCCGAAATGTGATAGGGCATAAATTCAGTATAAAATCAATTTGTATATTGTTCTATCCATACATATTATATATATATATATATATATATATAATATATATATATATATATATGTCGTGCCGACGGGGTTGTGAATTCGAATCTCGCTCTGGACAACCTGACATCGGGCAGCAGTGATATCCATTTTCACTTGAAAATATAGATCAAAAATATATTTCTAATTGCATTGCCGTGTGAAATGGCAATGGGAAATCTCTCACGATTCTTCTCTGAATTGAGTTGGAGTTTAACTCAGCTCAAAGACCTGCCTTAGGGTTACCTATCCATTATTATTACTATTATATATATAATATAAATATATATATATAAAATATATATATATATATATATTAATTATTTACATCATTTTTAGCATTTTTTATAATAACTTCTATTTTTAACTATTCGGATATAACTTGTTTAGTAACATTATTCATTCCCAAACGATATTTTTTTATTTAATAATAATATATAACAATACTATACCTAATAATATTTATTTAGCAACAATTTATGATTTCAAATCTAATAACAAAAAACTGTCTATATATTTAATATAAAAAGTTGTAATTCATAGTCAATGAATGAAAGCATTGCTGAAAATGGGAAGCAATGAAAGCATTGCTTCCCATTTTCCTTCGTGTTACATTTTTATTTATGTTTAATAGTTTGGATACATTATTCAAATTATTTGGAGACATTTTCATTTGTATTAATTTTAATTCATTATTAATATAAATTAAAAAAATATTTATATTTTTTCAGAGTTCTAAATATGTATTTTTTTCTAGGCACGGTTTTGATGGAGAATCGTGTATTCAAAAGTTCATATGTGATGCAAACAAATTGAAATTTGATTCCAATGTCATATTAAAAATTTTCAAGATGATTTTTAAGTATGCTTCACAACAATGACACATATTCTTCAAAATGATAAATATTGACTTTAATATTTTTTTTGCAGATCAGATGAGGAAGTATTAGACCCGAAGAAAATTCGTGCAAGAAAATAGAATTATCATGTCCACTTGCTCTGTTAGAATTATCGCAATACACAGATTTATAACAAAAAATTAATTCTGTTTCATTAGTTGTAAACATTATTTTATAATAATTAAGTATAATTATTTTTAAGGGTTGCAAAAGGATTCTACTTAAAATTGATTTGTTCGTATGTCGAGCGTTTTTTTTAATAGGAGAGGCAAAAGTCAGAAAACCCGAATAACAACAATATATAAATTATTAATACCATATTAGTGGTATTGACTCAATCACATATATTGAATTATATGGCAGAAAAAATCGGAATCTAGTTTTACCTTTGATTTAATCAGTATTCCAGTTTGCAAATAAATTAACAGAGTTTTATTTTGTATTCAAATTTGAATTGCTAACCCTTTCCACTTAGATGCCGCGGGAGTGGAAAGGGTTAAAATTTTGAATCAATTTATTGATTGGTTGGATTATATCATTTTTATGATTTATTCGATCTTTTAAGTGCAGTAATTTAAAATAGTTAAGATCCACAAATTGGATTAAGATATCCTTATTTCAGAAATTATATTTATTTATTATATTATATTTATATTTATATTATATTTATTTAGTATATATTTCAGTTTTGCAGAAATTAATACCAAAGATGTAGTAACGATTTAATGAAAAAGAGAGAAAAAAATAGAATGAACCAAAAAATTTGTAGGTAATAAAATAGCGATAAATTATATATGGAAGAATTTAAAAGACCCTTTCAGTAAGCGATTAACAGATATGGATCAAAAAAGATTCAATCGCACAATTCGTTCAAATTTGCAATGTTTTTTTTTTTTTTGAAAGGATAATTCCCCACGATATCAGATGTATAAAGCTTCGAAATCTAGGTCACGAGACAAGAAATCATGAAAAATACAAACTTTTCTAGCGTAAAATTCATACAAACTTGGAATTGGAGGAAATATAGGGCACTCCACCGATGCTTCTGTCAGATCACATTTTTCAAATATAGTTATTACATTGCAAAATTTACAATTTAGTCTAATACAAAAAACCACACAACTAATATCATTCATAAAAAATCTTTAGTGAACAAGTTTTAATTGCAAATATTTCTATTTCTATGTGTTTATTATAAATGTCAACATGTCACATTCAATAACGAGTTCATTCACTTAACTGTAATTTCTTCGCTTGCATATGAATATTTATATTAATAATTAGCAATATGCCACTTAGACCTTAAGTGGTATATAAGATACGTTCCGATTTAAATGAATTTTATATTAATTGTAATTTATTCAAAGAAAGACGTGAGTACAAATTAAATGATAGAACATCATATCAATGTGCAAAAACATATTAATTTTTTTGTTACTAAATTATTTTTGTATAGTTTTATGCAATAATCAAAATGCTAGTGAATATCAGTTGGAGGCAAAAAATGCTAAAACAAGAGTGCGACGTCATTTAGCATTTCGGAAAAGTTCAAAAATTTTTGTGAGTACATTTTTGGTACATATTACTTATTTTTGAACTAGTGGTGCATGGCATCGTGCCTTAAGGTAAATTATTTTGAAATTTTTGAAAAAAATCGTTTTTTTTAAATTATATGAGAATTTGGAGATTTTTAAAAACATCCGTTTTTTGAAAATTTCGAAATATCCTCAAATTTTTGAAGAAATCGTTTTTTTGTAAATTTTGATATATTGACCGCCAAATGGCATTTTGATATTTTGACCGCTAAATGGCTCATAACCGCTGAATCTGCCTTTCCAAAAATTTGAACAGTTCTTCATTTTTCAATACATTTGTTCTCTAATCAGCAAGTCTTCTTATCAATACGAATCGAATGTTTTTTGAATAATTTAAATCGGTTGATCCGTGTTTCCGAAATTGTCGACGAAAATTTGTATCCGCACACACACACATACATCCATTTTTGCTAAGGTATACCAAAATGTTCAGAAACCTTTGAAACGTAAAGATATATAAAAATTTTCAATTTCGATTTTTTTGCGGTTACTAGAACTTGCCCTACGGGAAGTTAATTAAGAATATACAATAGTGTATTATTATTATTATAACTAAGCTAAATTAACTCAATTATAAGTATTTCTTTCTTTGTCAATTATAAAAAGAGTCAAAATTAGGACTCAAAATATTTGAATATTACTTATGATCTTATTATAAAAATTTAACTCAACTTAGTTTTTCTCTTTAATAAGTAAGACTATATAATAAAAAATATAAATATCCGAAATACAAAATAGAATAAAGGAATGCTTAAATAATTTTGTGTCTTGATGAAACTTGACATTAAGTCTTCGTTTAGTGTATCTTCAAAAAATGAGGTCCTAAATATCCATTGTTTTTAAATATCTATTGATTCGCAGAAATTTTTAAAAAGTTCAAAAACTTTTCTGATAAAAACAGCAGTATCAGAGACGAAGAAAAATATTCCATAGCTAAGAATATCTATCTTTTACCATTTTAAATGTTATTACATATATGTGTTATTAATGTTATTACATGCTATGTGTGTTTTTGTATTTAAGTATGTTTTATTTTTTATAGTATAGGCTTAACATAAAAGACAATGTTTTACCTGAAATTGGAACAGTGTTTTCATATGGATATGGTTTTCGTGTGAATTGGGACATGCCCGAACGCAGTCGTCTTCCCTTGATAACTAGGAGAGATATTCACGATAGTGTTCAAGAAGCTATTGAGAAGTAATTAAATTAAATAATTTTAACATATATTTTAGATGCAATTTTAAAATAATAGAGTTTTATATTCATAAGAACTCAATACATAATATTAACTTTATTTGTGTTGCGCATCGCTCATAGCCTTATGAATTAATTGTTATAATATGCACAACAAGTTTTGATTTGAATATTAAGTACAATTTATTAATCATTAATTAATAATCATTTTTATCAAAAAATAAATAACATAATGATATTAATATAATAATTTAGCCACGGCTACAATGGAACGTCCTGCATACAAAAATTCATTTGCGATGCATCTCATGAAAATACAGCAGACAATAATGTTCTCTCAAAAATATTCAAAATAATTTTCAAGTAAGTTATTTGTTAATACTTACTAAATATATATTACAGCATTGCATAAAACTATATAATACATAATTGAAATTGATATTTTTTAAAGGTCAAGTTCCGGTAATACTAAAGAACTTTTATCATATGATGAATGTATGGATAGTCAGAATCAATGTCCTCTTGCATTTATGGAGCTGTCTCGTTACACAGATATTTAAAAATTAAACATTGTATTAAGTTTATAATAAATATTGACAAAACATAGATTTTATATTCATATTAAGTTTATGTCTTAATTACACAAACCTACTTATGAAGATTTGAAAATTAGCAGTGAAAGTTTAAATTGTCTAGATTATAAGCAACACGGATCAAGATACTAGTAATATTGATTCAAAATAATTTAATGTAGCAATTTTTGCTTAGTGGTTTTAGCTGCTTTTGTTTAATAAAAATAAAACTAAAAATTTAACTTTATTTAAATCTATATATAATAATCTTTAATATAAAAAGATGTAACCAGTACACTGTACATACTACTAAGACCAAGTTTTCCTTACAGGCAAATACTTTAGAAAAACGAGAATCAACAGCAGCTATATAAGTAAATGATATAATGAATCAGTTTTCCGATGAGTTTATATTTAATTTGATTTTTTTTAATTGCTAAAAAGTGACAAGTACTTGAATATGATAAATAAATATTTAAAAAAAAAAATTATATTGTGGAAATTTTTTAACCTCCCCTAAGATAAAGACTAATACCTTCTGTTTCCACTTAACTATTTCTTATTTTATTTGTAATTTTTGTGTTATCATCACTAACAATAAGTGCAACGTTTAAAGTATAAATAGAAAAAATTATTTTTTTTGAAAATTAGAATAAGAAAGCATGATTAACCAGAAAATTATTAGAATCTGTAAATACTTAAGTCAACATCAAATTAATTATATATAAATTATATATATAAATATGTATATAATAATTGAAAAAACTGCGTACTAAACTTATAAGTCAAAAACCTCAAAATTCAATATATATTTAAATATTTAATTAATAATTGTAATTATGCTTTCATAATTTGAATCAACCGCTTTTTCTCATATACCACGTGAAGTTGGTAACAGAGTTTGACATTGTTAATTGAGGTTATGTACTGGCAGCAAATTTAAAAACACGTGTATAAAGTTGTACATTAATATATGATGTTTATAGTTGTTAATTAAAATAACAAGTAATTTGCATCGTATTATATATCTTCAACAAAATTAAAATGGAAATATCACCACCAGAACCTCCAACAACCATAACTGCCCGTTTCAAATCTGATTCTGGTGAAGATATTGGAACACCCTTTAATTTACCATTTGATGTTACTGTTGAACAATTAGGATTAGTTTTGCAATGCACTACTTCAAAATGTAAAATCTTTACTATTCATCTTGTATCATCATTTATCTTGAAATGTTAATTTATTTGTATGATTTTAGGAAAAGCCAGTTCCATATCTATTCTTTGTAAATGAAGTTGAAATAAATAAGAAGTTATCGAATAGTATTGATTTAAATACATTTGATACGGAAGGTGTCTTAGATATTGTATATCAAGAACAAGCTGTATTTAAAGTTCGACCTGTTAGTAGATGTACCAGGTAAAATAATTATTATACAAGTTTTATAGTTAGTTAAAATTTCTTCAGCTGGAATCTTGCCGTGTAGACATAATATTTACTAAAAGTTTTATATTAAATGTCGTTCGATAAGTAATTACATAAATCAAATGCATATTGCTCTCAATGCTTTTACTTGTTTACTCATTTGAAATTAGTGGGATGAAGAAATCTCTAGTAAGAATTTATTTTATAATTCCTAAATGAATCAATGCAAAATATCACATCTAACTATTTTTCTCTTTTATTTTAGTTCTTTACCTGGTCATGCAGAGGCTGTAATATCATTAAGTTTTGGACCACAAGGTGATAAATTAGCGAGTGGTTCAGGTGATACAACAGTAAGATTGTGGGATATTCTAACACAAACTCCGATCCATGTATGCAAAGGACACAGGCAATGGGTTCTATGTGTATCTTGGTCACCTTGCGGTACAAAACTTGCATCAGGTTGCAAAGCTGGTGAAATAAAACTTTGGAATCCAGAAACTGGACAACAGATTGGTAAAACACTCATAGGACATAAACAATATATTACTTCTTTAAGTTGGGAACCTTATCACAGGTAATTGAAATAACTATCAACATAGCACTTACATACTATATTTATTCCATGCATGTGGTCTTTAATGCAGATTATTATCTTTTATTTTAGTAATCCAGATTGTAGACTTCTTGCTAGTTCTAGTAAAGATACAGATGTTAAAATTTGGGATACCGTTTTATGTCAGCATATTTTAACCCTATCTGGTCATACTCAAGCAGTTACTACTGTTAAATGGGGCGGCTTAGGTCTTTTATATACTGGAAGTCATGATAGAGAAATCAAAATATGGAGAGCAAAAGATGTAAGTTTTACTTGTAATGGCAAATATGTTATTTATAAATAGAGTTAACAATGTTATCTGTTTAGGGAATATTATGCAGAACGCTTAAAGGACATGCTCATTGGGTTAATAGTTTAGCATTGAATACGGACTATGTTCTCAGGACAGGTCCTTTTCATCCTGTCATGGATAAAAATGTTAAAATTACTGATAGTAAGAATTATGCAAAATGTATACTAAATTATTAGAATCATATCAATTATTCAATTACTATTATGTTGTAGAGAATGTGATGAAACAATTAGCACAAGAACGTTATAATGCTGTTTGCAGTGATTATGAAACACTTGTATCATGTTCAGATGATTTCACCTTATATTTATGGACAACAAATAAAAATAAATGTATTGCCAGGTTGACTGGTCATCAAAATGTTGTGAATGATGTTAAATTTTCTCCTGATGTACGGTAATTAGAATATCCAATTTGTAAATTTTTGAAACACTAATATGCAGGAATATTAATGTATATTATTCAATGTTTTTATTTGGTTGCAGATTAATTGCATCTGCATCTTTTGATAAATCTGTTAGATTGTGGAGTGCTGTTGATGGAAAATTTATTGCAACATTACGTGGACATGTTCAAGCCGTTTATTCTATAGCATGGGCAGCAGATTCTCGTTTGCTTGTTAGTGGTAGTGCTGATTCTACTTTGAAAGGTTAATATATTTCTATTTGCTAATATCAATACTTATCTGTTGCATTACTATATGATTAATTGTATTTCAGTCTGGAGTATTGCTAACAAGAAATTGGAAATGGATCTACCCGGTCATGCTGATGATATCTATGCTGTTGATTGGTCTACTGATGGATTAAAAGTAGCTTCAGGAGGGAAGGATAAAGTATTAAGATTGTAAGTTTTATTGATAATTCTTTAATTCTTAATTATCTCTGTCTAAATTTTTATTTTGTTATTTGCAGATGGCAACATTGATAATATTTGTTTTTGAATAGATTTAAAATTTTACATAAAAAATTGACTTGTTATATTTATATACAAAATAAATTTTTCAATGCGACATAATTCTTTTCATTTTGAATTATCATTCTAAATTGCGTTATATCCAATTGCCATTGTATTGAAAAATATCTATTTTGTGTAAATGTTCTAACAGATTAATATTTTAACTTATAATCAAGTCAAAAGTTTAAACTCTTTTAAGGTAATGAGATGTTGATTAACTGTATGACAATTTAATTGAACTCAATTCAAAATTAAGAATTAATTAAGTATATATAAGAAAATTTATTGGAAATCTAGAAGGTCACGTTTTGCTTACAAGCTCTTAAATAATTTAGTTGACATATTTTGATGATCGTAAATATCTAATTTATCTACTTACTGCATACAGTGATTTTCATTTCTATAAAGTTCTTCTGATTTCTACATCTTTAAATACTTCTATATAAGAATTAAAATGGATGTATAAACATTCACAAGAAGTTCTTTATAACAACACGTTTTATTTCTTAACAATAAGTACAAACTTTATTCAAAAATAGATCGGTATATGCATTATACAAATTTTACAATTCTATAAGCATACACAATACTTAAAAAAGTATCTCAATTTTATCCAATAATAGGATACTTTTTTTTTTTTTAATAAATATTATAATACTTACAATTAGGCATTTATTACTTAAACCTAATTAATGTTCATAATGATTAGATTGAAGTTTTTATATAAATATCAACCTTGGTATGTTTGAATAAGCTTGTTCCATTCTGCTGGGAAATTTCTTTGAATGTGCGATAATGTTTTACGAATTTGTTTGGTTTCTTGGGCTGTGCACTGTGGGCAAGCACCTCTTAATACTAATGGAGCTAAACCTGCAATTTGATAAATTTACATTATTCTCAATAATAAATAAATATTTACTAATTAGAATATGTGGGGTTGTGTGTGTAATGAAAAATATATTACTGAAATTAGGATGCGTTTCATAAAACTCGATTTTTTTCTAATAGTGATTAATTTGCAATTGAAAAGATTTGCATAAATATCAATAAAAATCTATATAAACATTAATTAATTAACAATTAAATAATCTTTAAGATTTTTATATTACACGTATCAGCAAATCGCGCACATCATTGATGTTCAATGTCGACAAAATAATTGCATAGTTAATTATGATTATCGTAACAGTACAATTATTAAAATGTGTGTATATATAATTGTATATATTTATATTCAATATATATATATATATATATATATAGAATATATATATATAATATATATATATATATATATAATTTGTATATCTATTTATATAGTTTTATAAATGTACATGAGCACTTGAGCGGTATATGTAACATATTATCCTATAGGTCAGAAGTTTAATAAAACTTAATCAAAATCATATTGAATGAAGATCATAGTTGACATTATGTACTGATGTATAACTTCATAACAGTTAGTTTGGAAAAATTTAAATATGTAGTTGAAACTGCATAGCAAAGATGTTAAAAATATTTTAAATATTGCATGACAATAATCAAAGAATATTAAAATAATTCAATCCAAAAATAGAATTCAGTTTGATCAAAAATACAATACGACCCTGTGGTAATAGAAGATTAATAGATTTATTAAAATTAATTGTAACACCGTTACTAGTTGTGCTCTTTATAGAGTCTTTTTTATATATGATTAAAATAATGGCTAATTAAAAAATTAAATTAACCGGTAATTATTATATTTAATTTGAATTTTTAAAAATTTTGGTTTCAAGCAATGAATAAAAATGAAAAATAATAAACTCTTAATTTAATAATATTAATCAAACGCAGAAGGGTGAAATAATTAATAACCATAAAATCCGAAAAGATCATTTTTTTAATTAAATTTTGAGGCATTTTTGTTAAAATAAAAATAATAAAAAATTGATAATATTGTTGAACATATAACACTCGAAAATTTATTTTAATTACGATTAAACATGTTAAATATATTTTAGAACTCGAAAATAAAAAATCCAAAATTATAAATGTAATATAGTAATTAGAATTTGTAAGAAATATTTAAAAAGTTAAATTTGCTATTAAAAAAAATAATAGAATGGTAATAATATTATCATATATAATATACTGTATATTTCTTCGAATTGCAATTACACATGGATAAAAATATTTTATAGTGCCTTATTTGAATTCAACTAAATAACAATAGAATATATGCAAATATAATTCAAGAGTTATAAAACCTAAAACAATGGTTGGAGAATAAAAAATCTAAAAAGATAAATTTCGTAATTAAAAATTGCCAAAAAATATTTTTGCTGTTATTCACTATTATTTTGTATATTTAATGCTCACATAAAATCTCAGAATAATATTTCCAAAATAAAATTTAACGAAAACTAATAAGCGATGTATTACTGCAATAGTATAACACAAGCTCCTTTTGGTTTGATTTATACTACTAGAATTTTTTTTTATAAATGTGCCACAGACTAAGAATAGCCTATTCCAGGATTTATTTTCAAGAATTGAAATTAATTGCTCTCATAATACTAGATATGGACTATTGCCAATAAAATATCTCCTTGTGTTTTAGTAATTAGCTATCTACACGGAACCTTTGGTTATCAACTCACACCATCATTTCGGATTTTTTACTTATTGCTTCTATTATTTTCGATATAATTTTATATTTCGATTACAATTACTTACTTTTCAACCTGCGGCCAACTGGATCACAAGGTGCCTCGCCAAGAGCACATTTTAATTGTCTCATTAAATATCTTTTATCATTAAGCGCGTGATCCAGCATCTCATCAGAAATTGGAGCACGTGTGGCGGCGGCACGGGCTGATGCAACCGATGGGAGGGTTTTCTGCGTACTGGTAGTCACCGTCGTTGTTGCACTCGAGGCGTAGTGGCAAGCGAATAATAGAATGACTAGGGTTGAAATCTAGAGAAAAATATAAGATAATTTAAAACATATTGATTCGTTATAATATGTTAAACTCCCCAAAGGAGAAGTTTGTTCTTACGCCAGAAAGTTCGATTTGCAATTTTGTGTTTTTTCGACGCCTCAAGTCATTCCGAAT